AGTAGGCAGAGAGGCAGGCAGAGAGAGAGGAAGGGAAGCAGGCTCCCTGCCGAGCAGAGAGCCCGACGCGAGACTCGATCCCAGCACCCTGAGATCATGACCTGAGCCGAAGGCAGCGGCTTAACCCACTGAGCCACCCAGGCGCCCTCATTTTTTTATTTTTAAGATTTTATTTATTTATTTGACAGACAGAGATCACAAGTAGGCAGAGAGGCAGGCAGAGAAAGAGAGAGAGAGGAGGAAGCAGGCTCCCTGCTGAGCAGAGAGCCCGACTCGGGGCTCGATCCCAGGACCCTGAGACCATGACCTGAGCCGAAAGCAGAGGCTCTAACCCACAGAGCCACCCAGGCGCCCTATCTACGTATCTTCTTTGGTGAAGTACCTGTTCAAATCTTTTGCCTATTTTCTGAGTTATTTGCTTTCTTCTTATTTTTTTTTTTAAAGATTTTTATTTATTTATTTGACAGAGAGAGAGATCACAAGCAGGCAGGGAGGCAGGCAGAGAGAGGAGGAAGCAGGCTCTCCGCAGAGCAGAGAGCCCGATACGGGGCTCGATCCCAGGACGCTGGGATCATGACCTGAGCTGAAGGCAGAGGCTTTAACCCACTGAGCCACCCAGGCGCCCCTTGCTTTCTTATTATTAAGTTCTAAGAGCTCTTTGTATACTCTGGATACACATCCTTACTCAAGCATGTTTTCTGCAAAGACTAGTCTGTGGTTTGTCTTTTTATTCTCTTAACACTGTCTTCTAAAGAGCCTAAGTTTTTAGCTTCAATGAAGTCGAATTTATGAACACGTTACTTTTCATTCCTTTGTTTTCAACTTTCTTTCTAAATTAATTTTTGGATAGTTCTTTCCAGCAAAGCCTAGGAAAGGCAAATTCACATCTAGAAAGGCCTTTTTTGTACTTTCAACTCATACTTTAGCTAAGCAACTTACAGCATTCTAAATATACTAGTCTATTGTCTTCTGGCTTCCATAGCTGCTATAATGAAAATTTTTTGATAATCTGAGATTTTTTTAAAGGTAATTTTTTTCCTGAATTATTTTAAAATACTATCCTTTCGGGGCGCCTGGGTGGCTCAGTGGTTAAAGCCTCTGCCTTCGGTTCAGGTCATGATCTCAGGGTCCTGGGATCGAACCTCACGTTGGGCTTTCTGCTCAGCAGGGAGCCTGCCTCCTCCTCCTCTCTCTCTCTGCCTGCCTCTCTGCCTACTTGTGATCTGCCAAATAAATAAAAATCTTTAAAAAAAAAATAAATAAAAAATAAATAAAATAAAATACTATCCTTTCATTTTATTGTATCTAGGGCCTTTGTTTACCAAATCTTTAGATTTTCATCTTTCACAAATGATAGCCATCATTTCTTTGAATTTTGTTCTACTCCTTTCTTTTTTTTTCTTTTAAGATTTTATTTATTTACTTGACAGAGATCACAAGTAGGCTGAGAGGCAGGCAGAGAGAGAGGGGGAAGCAGGCTCTCCGCTGAGCAGGGAGCCCGATGTGGGGCTCGATCCCAGGACCCTGAGATCATGACCCGAGCCAAAGGCAGAGGCCTAACCAACTGAGCCACCCAGGCACCCCCTTTTTTTTTCTTTTAAATATTTTATTTATTTATTTGACAGAGAGAGAGAGAGCGTATAAGCAGGCAGAGTGATAGGCAGAAGAAGAGAGAGAAGCAGGCTCCCTGCTGAGCAAGGAGCCCGATGTGGGATTCGATCCCAGGACCCCGAGATCCTGACCTGAGCCGAAAGCAGCCGTTTAACCAATTGAGCCACCCAGGCATCCCATGTTTCTATTCTCTTTCTGGAACTCCTCTGAGGCATATAATGAAACTGTTCACTCCATCTTTCATATCTCTTATCCTGTTATAGTTTTTTTTTTTTTCTCTCCTTCCTTGCTTTTTAGAGCTTACTAATTTTCCCTTTAATCTACTTTTACCTCATGTACTTAGTTTTTTAAAATATTCTGATTTTTACTTAGCATTTCGATACTTCTTCTGTAATATGCTGTAATTACTTGACATACTGAGATTTTATTTAAAGTTACCTTGCCAATTCCTCAAATCAGTATCAATTTATATTCATTAGTTTTTTTCCCTAGTGACAACTGTTTCTTTTGAACTTTGTTTTTCCTTTGGTCTAAGTTGTTTGAATTTTCCCAATTCAACTATGAAAAATTTCTCTCACAGAAAATTAGAAGGAATGATAAAAATTGACATCCAAATTCTACTTAGATTCTAAATTTTTTTTCTTATTTATTTTCTCTAACACTTCGCTTTCTATCTTACCATTTGAAATGGAGTTCCAAATTGATTGAGAAAGGAGTAAGAATAGTGATGACTCCTGAAGGTGATTACTGAATTGGCGGCGGCATGGGAGAACCCTTCTCAAGCACTAGAAATGTTCACTATCTTGATCTCTGCAGCAGTTAAATATGTAGAAGGGAACTCAACTGTATACTTGACATTTGTATACTTTACTGTGTGTAAGCTGTTATTTCAAAAAGGAAGGTGGAAAAAGTTGTAGGTGTCATGACAATTTACCCCTAAATACTGAAAAATGTATTTCCTAAGAATAAAGACATTTCCCTACATAATCACATACCTGTTATCACACTCAGGAAAATTAATAATTTCATAATAATGTATTTAATCAATGTTCACCATTTCCCAACACAAAATGCCTTTTATTCCCATCCTAGCTGAAGCTAGAATCACACAGTGCATTTGCTTACAACTCTTCAGTCTTGTTTAGTGTAGAATAATCTCCAATCTTTTCTGTCCTCTGTGACATTGAGTCCAGTCCATCTGTCTTATAGAATGTCCAAATACTGAACCTGTCGGTTTTCTTCACGGCACTTAACTTTTTACTTTATCCCCTGTATTTCTTGTAAAATGGGAGGTTCAGAAGCTTAACAACACAGTCATCTTTAGCTGGAATACTTCACAGATGATAACAGTCATTCACTGACTTTAAAATTTGACCACCTTGAAGTTCTATTTGGTTCTTTCTTTAGGGCCCTGTTGTTCTTGAGTCTTCTAATGCACTGATAAACTCTTTCCCTGTGTATCCTATAACATGGAATTTTGAGCTTATCAGTGGGCATTATCTATGTGGATTCCACGAGCCCCAGATAGGCCAAAGAGATTTTGCATTTACTTCTGTCTAGTGCCTGACTGCTATTACTTCTCCAGGACCAGTTGTTGGGTTGAAAGTTCCTGGACAGCACCCATAAGTATAAATATGAACCCCACACCATGATGAGGACAGGCCTATAATTAAGAATTAAAGGGAAACTTTAACCTTTATCTGGACTGCTGGTAAAGACAAACAAATTTCATTGTTATTAATGTATACTGAGTAAGTAGATTTTCTTCTAGTTCACCCTTTTGCTGAAGGTAAAGCTCTTCAAAGTCTCAGCTTTATGTGAGGATCCGCATTCCAACTACCCTTTGTGACACTGGTTGAAGGCCTAGTCTTACATCCCCACACATCGACACCCGCATCCCTTTGTTGCACAAGGTGACAAACTGACCTCACTGGAGGCCACTGTAGTATTTTTTCCATGAAAATCAAGCATTACTACTAAGGGGGAAAAATTAAAACTACTTTGATTTCACTTGTATTTGGAAATGAAAAGGTTTTTTATTAGTTTCAAAATAATCACATACATTTTTAAAAAAAGTAGTGATGTATACAGGTGTATTATTATTAAATCCAATGACAGTACTTGTTGCACTCAAGGATTATAGACCACCCATAAAATTGTACAGATTTCCCTGCTTTAAATGTTACTTAGAATACTCTGTTCCAATGGTAATACTTATCATCAACACAAGTTATGTAAACAACAACAACAAAAAAATCAAGCACACTAAAAATCCAACATTTGATAATAAGTCCAAATAGGGATTTCTCAAGGGCAAAGAACAAAGCTTACCTGACATATGTTAGACAACAAACAAGATCAAGTCTTGAAATTCTTTTTGATTCTAAACTCATACTTAGACTTGAGTGTGGTTCAAGTTTGGTAGACAGGTTAAAATGTTAAATCAGACACTAAACACAATACTATTTGTTCCAGTTAAGAAACACAGACAATGGCACCAAATAATTATGTCTCTTTAACTCCTGTTTGAAATGGATGCTTCCATTTGCATGACCATGGAGTATGGTGTGGTAACGTATTTCAGTTTCAACAACTACTCTTTCTGAAAAACATAAAGAAAAAGCAATGATGATATTAAAAGTTGACTTACCACTGTCCTCTGTTTATTGGGCAGGAAGACTCTAACGATAGGTTTTTGTGGTGACTTTGGATTGCTCCGTGATACATCTGTGGGATTTTGAAAAACTGAAAGAGATGAAGGTAGCACTGAAAGGCTAGAGGAGGAAGAAGATGTAACGGTGTCTGTTGATGCAGAGCTAGAAACAGAAAAATCAGTTCCATTCCCCAGGGATTCCAATAACTGTTGTTCTCGCTGTTGGAGGGCATCTAGCTTGCTGGTGTATTCTTCATAGGCCTATAAAATAAAGCAGACTTACATTGAATCTGGACTTTCTCCTGACAATAACAAAAGGAAGTAAGAAATTTAAGCCTGATTTATAATCTTTTTATAATCTAGCTAACAGGGTTTTAAGTTAGAAGTTACAAAATAAATGCTAAAAGTACTATAAATTAATACTTCCACTTTTAATATTTATAAATCTTTTGTGATATTACATTGCATTGAGAAACTGAAAAAAATATAAATGTCTAGAAGAACCATGAATATTAATTTAAAAAACGCAGTCTTTACAAATTCTGGTCATACTGCAATTTACCTTCCATACCACATATCTAACATAAGATAAAATACTCTATACTACATCAAGGGTTAAGTATAATCTCTTTTAAAAATTTATTTTTTTCCAGAAAAGTTGTAGGTATATAAAGCTTCATACCTTTTTCCCTTTCAAAGAACAGAAACAGAAGTTGAAAAGGAGATGAGGTCTTAGAAGAGATTTATCAAAAAGTAAGACTCTGGTAGGTATAGTGTCAGATCTCTCCATTACCACCAAAAACTCAATAGGACTTAAAAGATGTATAACTGCCACCTTCTTTCTGAAAGAGCTGTTAGTTAAAATACTTTATTCTCCTCACTATGGATCTCTGATGATCCCATCAAATACTGCTTAGAGAATAAAATTTTATCTAAAAAGATGGTTTACACCCTGCAGTTGGGAAATTCTGGGGCCATTATCCATCAGGGTTTCTTTCTACAAGTTTCATTTGACTAAGGCTCTAAAGTCAAATAACCACATAAGATATCATATTCTAAAAGTAACAAGAATTTTGAAAACAGTAGTATTGAAAGTAAAGAGATGGAATGAATTGGAATATATATATATATCTATGGTTCATAGTTCTTTAAGGCAGTGGTAATCACTCTCCCCCACACCATAGTCCACCATTTCTGTCTACCACCATACATAGATGCATTAACTATAAACATTTATAAAAGGCTACAAAGGAGAATCAGAGATTTTAAAATGGCATTTCCTATCCCTCAAAGAGTTTATTTTTGGGCTGCACAGAAGCAGGTGGATGTATTTTTATTTAAGTGCTGTATATGAGAAATTAAGAACACTTTTGATACAAGGTGAGAATGAGGAAGGAAAGGGCCTCAAAATGTTAGCAATTAGGTAGATGGAGTTAAGTGGGGAGAAGAGAGTACTGTGTATAGGAGAAATTCTGCCAAAAAGTAAACAGGTAGGAAATTCTGTGGCAGCTACGTGGCTCAGTCGGTTAAGTTACTGACTCTTGGTTTTGGCTCAGGTCATGACCTCAGGGTCCTGGGAAGAAGTCCTCTGTCCGGCTCCATAGGTAGTGCATAGTCTGTCCCTCTCCCTCTGCTCCTCTCCCCCCCACCTCCTGCTCTCAAACAAGTAAAATCTTAAAACAAAACAAAGAGGTAGGAATTTTAAGGCACAGAGAGAAAAGTACAGACTAGTATTTTTAATATCTGGGAAATAGCAATGGATCAATATGTGCTTGTGGTATTTAAATGAAAAACAGCAATAGAGGGAAGCAAATAGTTAAGGCTGGGAAAACGGGTAAAGGACTAGCTTGTAGAGGGTGTATATACCATGCCATGAAGCCTAAACTTCACTCCACAAGCCAGGGAGAATTATCAAAGGATAGAAGGGAATGAAGGAGAATTTTTGTTTCAATAAAGACCACTGCACTTACTATGCTAGCTCTTAAAATATAATTTTCAAGAAAAAAAAGAGGAAAAATACTAAATTGAGCCACTGAGGTAAAGGGCCTAAAGTACATCAAAATGCCCTCTCCTCTACCCTACTGGATGCCCTATCCTGATTCCGCACATGTTTCATAGCATTTCAGGACATTATAACCAAATAAATTCAAAATTTTCTAAGCTATATTTTGATTTAGCTTTCAGTTGCCAGATCTAATTACTTAAGGGCATCTCTTTCAATATGATCCACTTTTTGAGCCTTTAAAATCAGTCAATTAAGGGCCGCCTGCGTGGCTCAGTCAGTTAAGTGTCCACTCTCTCTCTCTCTTTTTTTAACATTTTATTTATTTATTTGACAAAGAGACAGACATTGAAACAGGGAATATAAGCAGGCGGAATGGGAGAGGGAGAACCAGGCAGGGAGCCCGATTCAGGGCTCAATGCCAGGACTCTGGGATCATGACCTGAGCTGAAGGCAGACACTTAACAACTGAGCCATCAAGGTGCCCCCCAAGCATCTACTCTTGATTTATGTTCAGGTCAAGGATTTCTACTCAGGATTCTCTCTCCCTCTCCCTCTACCCCCTCCCTTGAAACTCATTCTCTCTCCCTCTCTCTCTAGGAAAAAAAAAAAAAAAGAAGAAGAAGCACCAAAAAGCAAAAACAAAAAAAAATACCAGTCAATTAGTAATAGTGAACATACATGTGCCTGGCACTGTTTGGGGCTCAAACTACAAAAATACTGACAGAATTCCTACCCTTGGAAGAACATACACAAGTATTCTACGAGATAAAATTACCTCCTGCGTAGATCAAATCTTATTTACTATCATCTGGACAAGTACATTTACTACACAAAGTTAGCCTTAGGAAAAGTAATAAATGTAAACAATAAATTCTCAAGATGTTACTTATCAAAATGTTAGTCTTAATTTTTGAAAATATGCTGTTCCCTCTATTATGGATTACAAACTATTTCATTGCATTTACCAACAGCTCTTCCTCTTCTCAAGTATAAGGCATTTACTTATTCCACCTACCTCATCCTCACAGCCAAAATCTATCAAGGCACTTGCACCTGGCTTGGCTCATTTCTTCCCGTTACTCCTGCTGCATTCAGTGTGGATTACTCTTTCAGTTACTCCTGCTGCATTCAGTGTGGATTACTCTTTCAACGCTCCTGCCTTGAAGTTCTCTAAATATCTTATCTCTAAAGGTATTTATTTTCACTCTACCTTCCAGATCCACGAGTTCCAAACGATGACAAGATCTCAATTTGTAACTTACCTTGTCTCTGAGCACACCTTCTTAAGTTTCCATCTCACTACATTAATCTGTTCATGAGCAACATTAATCCCTTAGTTTCTTAGAGTGGGGCCTTCATTGTCTTAATTCCCTTCTTTGTGGCTCACCATTTCAATAATGCCACCAGTAACATCTCTGATTCTCTGGCTATTTCTTATTCTTTAACCAACTTTTTTTTTTTTTTTTAAACAAGGTTTTATTTATTTATTTGACAGAAATCACAAGTAGGCAGAGAGGTAGGCAGAGAGGCAGACGGAGGCGGGGACGGGGGGTGGGGGGAGGAAGCAGACTCCCCACTGAGCAGAGAGCCAGACGCAAGGCTTGATCCCAGGACCCTGGGATTATGACCTAAGCCAAAGGCAGAAGCTTTAACCCGCTGAGCCACCCAGGCACCCCTCTTTTACCAACTTGCTTGTCAAATAAAAATACTAAGTAAATCCTACTTAAATTCTTATTCTTTAACCAACCTGCTTATCAAATACAAATATTAAGTAAATCCTACTTAAATTCAATTACTCCATTCTTTCTCTCAGGTTACTACACACTGCTAAAGAAGACATTAGTAAGACAAAGCCAATTACTTCCATAATCAATTCATGGAATTAGTCCTTCACACGACTACCTGAAAAATTTTACTTATCTTTAGTATCACCACATTATGTTTTTCACAATACTTACTCCAATCTTTTCTAGGCTTCCTTGGTTCCTTACCTTCATCCCTCAATCTTTAATTCACTCAGAAAAAAAGCATTAACTTCAAATTTACTCTAAAGATCAAAGCCATCAAATTAAAGCTTCCTCTTCTGTCTTTGTCTAAGCAATTCCCCACATCTTTCCCAATCCCTCTTCTGTTCTTAATTTAGTGCTGGCACTGAGTGTTTGGAGCCTCAGGCCCTGGTACATTGTAATCCCTATTCTCTCTTACATCCTCCAACCTTTTCCTCTGTTTCCTTACCCAGCAAATGTGAACACATCTTCCCACATATATGCACACCTCAGCCACCAACACTGCCATCAACAAAACTCTTGTGGTTCTTCAAGATGTTGCAGCTCTACATACTTTTCCAGAATGCAGCTTGCCCCAAACCCTATTTTTTCTCATCAAAATCCTACTTATTTTTCAAGGCACCTGAGTGGCTCAGTCAATTAAGCGTCAAGACTCCTGGTTTCAGCTGACATCATGATGTCATAGTTCTTGGGATTGAGCCCCTTGTCAGGCTCCATGCTCAGCAGGGAGTCTGCTTGAAGATTCTCTCTCTCTGCCCGTCCCCCCATGCACATTCTCTTGTGAGCTCTCTCTCAAAGAAATAAATAAATCTAAAAAAAAAAAAAAAATCCTACTTATTTTTCAAAGTCCAATTCAAAGCTCTGCTTGATAAAACCCAAGAGGTATTGTCTTTACCTCCTTTAGAGTATTACCACGTTCTTCTTTATATGACTATTTCTTTCTCATGTATGAAAAAATTTTGTGAGGATTAAATGAGATAGTACGAGTAAAAGAAGACTATTACAGAGACTACCATATAGCAAAAACCCAATAAATATTCTTATTAGTAATAATAAGTAGTACTGGTAATTCCTGTTATGTTTATTATTGTTATCACTATATTACTTAACTCTGTTAACATGATTCAACTAAATTATAAGCTAGTTGAAGGCACAGATCATGTCAGATGTTTTTGAATTAAATAAAAGGGTACAGGGGTGCCTGGGTGGCCCAGTGGTTTAAGAGCTGGACTCTTGATTTCAGTGCAGGTCATGATCTCAGGGTTGTGAGACTGAGCCCTGTGTCCAGCTCCATGCTCGATGTGGAGACTACTTAAGATTCTCTCCCCCACTCTCTCTCTCCATCATGCCCAACCCTGCTCATGCTCTTTTTCTCTCTCAAATAAATAAATAAATAAACTAATTAAATTATAAAAGAATACAAGAACACTTAATATCATTAGGGTAACAATATTCCCCCAAACTGATTT